CTTGATTAGGTGGATTTGAAATACTTTTTACAAACTTAAAACTATTTTTTAAAGTTTACATTTAGTTAATAAATTTCATTTAATTTCCTTGAAAACATGTGGTTTACGTTAAATATTATTAGTTTTCAAAAATTATTATTTATAATTTTTTCGCCACTCTCCGTTTTACCTTCTACAACTTTCTATATTAGACATTGTTTTTTTTCTCTCTCTAAAATTCTTCGCTTTCCAACGACGTATTATACGTATACCTTCTGATTTTTTTCCTCATTTATTCAATCATCAAATTCTTTCAAAAGTTATATTTAGCATTTTTTTTTTTAACTTTTAATAATCAGAGATAGTTAATTATTTGAAATGAACCATATTAAAGGTACTTTAGAGGAAGATGGATATGAATATTGTAAAAATATGTTACATATGTACACAGGTAAGTGAAAGTAAAATCTATTGAAAAGAGAAATAGAGGAGAATAGCTCTCTATGATCTCTTGGGTATTTCAGTTAATATAGAAATAAACTTTTTGATATTTTTAATTTTTAAAAAAAATATATATATATATATTGAGAATTATCATAAGCTGTTTCTTATGACTTAACTAACTTAACCTGGAGAGATATTTTTCAGTAGGACAATCTAATAACTTATTAAGTAAATTCTTACTTAAATAGTCGTAGTAAGCATAATTCTTCATTATGTAGAAGTAAAGCATGATGCGCATGTTTCGCTCATGGTACTCCATCTATTCCGAGAGCCTTGCTAGGATATGCTAGTATATTTTATCATTAATTATATTTTTAAAAAATCTTTCCACTGTAGGAATTATATATAAGTGTAAATATAATCCAAAAACAATTTTAAAAAATCTTTTCCATAAGATTCCCTATGATACACTTGTTCAAATAGACGTCAGAGAAAGCGAGTCAATGAAATCTCAGAGGATAGAGTCGCCCGTAGTGATACAAGGCTGAAAGTTATCAATACTGTCCCAGTTCACAGGCGATCGCCGCCTATCGAATCCAGTCGCTGTCCGGATAAAGATGTCGCGGGACCATCGGATGACCGGGGTGCGGTTTCAAGATAAGAGTAAAAAATAGCCAGAACAGTCTGTTGAACCACTGAGCGATTCAACATCGTTCACGAACAGAAAATGTTTAATATCGACGCTGAATATTGTTCTCCAATAATCGATTTGTACATCTTTAAAAAAAAAGTATAAAAACATTATGATTATTGTACAGATATTTAATCGAAAAAAAAAAATGGTTTATTATTTTCAAACAATTATGAATCTAAAGTAACATTACCTTCCTAGCTACAAAGAAAAATGAATAAAAGGTGTTTCTTACTATTGGACTAAACTTTTTTTTTAATCATTAGTAATTATCTAAAAAAAAAAAAAAAGCATTACTTCAGCAACACATTCAAAAATCAAATACCAAAACAAAGGATATAAACTTTGCAGTAGAACATATAAAAAACATTTAGAGACTATATATTTGCTCTTGATTGTCCGATTTTAACGATTATTTGTTGGGAAACATCGTAAACTTTAAAGGACCATATACAATACCCACAAAAAAGTGCATACTTTTCGAGTTATTCGGAATTTAATTTTACCATCCCTCGTAACTTTATTCCAGCTTCTTTTCGTTGAAGTATTTTATATAGATAAATTTAAAGGGCATTGAGAAAAATACTTTAGCCAAGTTTCATTGAAATTGGTACATTCGTTTAGGATCTACAGACTAAAGCAACCCAGGTTTTTCGGCCGCCAACTTGAAAGCAAAAAGCCGGAAGGTAATGTCGATGAAGGAGGATCATCCTCGGGTAACCTCCGATTTTAAATCCAAATTTGGGAAAAATCGGTCCAGTAGTTTCGGAGAAAACGCGCGGACGGCGAACGGAAATAAAAAAAAAGTTTTAATCGTTTTTCGAATTCTATGTATTCTGAAACGCAAAACCTCAAATTTTGAAAGAGGATTAAGTTTTTGAATTTTCTGTTCGATTACAATGATATTGGAAATAATAAACCAAAATTTTATAACGCTCGAAACGTTCTTGTTTTAAAGCATTATATTTCTCACGGATTTGCCCATGAGAAATGATTTGAGCTGTGAGTTCATGGAACGATGTTATAACACAACTTATGCAACAAAATAGCAGTTTTTGTTTTAAATACATATTTTTAGAGTGCTACCATTGGGTGGTTACTCAGCAAGTGTATTCATGTCATTATATCAATTATGTTCAAATTTACTTGATGTATTTATGTAATACAGTTGTAAATGTCATAAAGAAATAAAAAAAAAATACATATTTCTTTTTTGAATTATACAATATGCAATATACAGTTGAATTACATGCCAAAACTATATAAGTCGTTCAAAATGGGCTTTTATTAATAGCCCAATTATTGGACTAAATTTTTTTTTTTTAATCATTAGTAATATGCTAAAAAAAAGTTAGCATTACTTCAGTAACACATTCAAAATTCAGAAACCAAAACAAAGGATATAACGTTTCCAGTACAACATGTAAAAAAACTAGAGGCCATATCTTTGCTTTGCTCCTAACTGTCCGATTTTAACGAATTTTTTTTAGGAAATTCCGTAGACTTTTAAAAAACCATATACAATATCAACAAAAAATTGTATACTTTTTGAGTTATTCGGAATTTAATTTTACCATCCCTCGTAACTTTTTTTCCAGGTTCTTTTCGTTGAAGTATGTCATGACGATAAATTTAAAGGGCGTCGAGTACAAGACTTTAGCGAAGTTTCATTTAAATCTGTTGAAAACAGGTTTTTCAGCCGCCATTTTTGAAAGTAAAAGGCGGATAGTAATGTCGATGAAGGAAGATCATCCCCGAGTTACCTCTGATTTTAAATCCAGATATGAAAAAAATAATCAATTCAGTAGTTTCGGAGAAAACGCGCGGACGGCGGACGGACAAACACATTTTTGTTCGTTTTTCGAATTTTACGTATCCTGAAACGTGAAACCTCAAAATTTGAGAGGGAGTTAAGTTTTTGAATTTTTCGGCCGATCACAATGGTTCATTATTGAAAATGGAAAAGGCAAATAAAAGCTGATTAAACATTAATTTAGAGCAAGTAAAATTAGCTAACAACAAGTAGAAAATGAAACAATTTGATCTAATTGACTTAAAGAAATAGTCCATTAATTCTTCTCTCAATATAAACGGAGTACTAAAATAAATCCCTTCTCTTTCAAGGCAATTTAAACTGGATTTAAAGCTTAAAGCGGCTGAGCATAAAATCTGGCTTTCTTATAAAAATAACGAGATTAACTTGTAACTCAAACTTATTCCTCCAGTATCAAATTTTATATTTATATATTATTTTACATTTCCTATATAAATCAGTCTGAGTTAAATTTAATTTAATTACAAAGACCAAGTCTCGAAACAATCGAAATAGAAGTGAAGGTAACGAAACTAAAACTTAAATGAATTTATTAAGATAATCACTTAATCATTAACACTAAATGAATATTATGTTTAAAAACATATTTTTTATAAAATACCTTAAATTAGCTACTCAGATTTAGGTATCCTCAGCATGATCATTTTATTAACAATATTTCCCTAAACATATTCCTAAATTTATTTTAAAGCCCTTGTCCAATAAATACTACAACGCAGTGAATTACGAGCTTCAGAGAACGAATGTGTTTGTGTGTAAATATATATATATATATATATATATATATACATAAAGAACTGTTGTTATTAGGAAAAATAAATGATTTATAATAAAAATACAGTATAAAACGATGCTAGTGTTGACAGAGTGGTGAAGATACTACCATAATCATTATTAAAACGTTGAGAAAAACATGTATGAATTTGCATGTTTCCAAATTTGTTTTTTCTATTCCTATACATTCGTTCATTAAATATGTCTTAAAAAATATAATTTTACAATGCGAAATAGTTCAGTAACACTTGTTTATTTTTAGTAAATCAATTTTTTCGGAGACGTATGTTATTTACATAAATTAAAATGGAGACTTTAACCAAGTTTCATTAAAATCGTTACGGCCGTTTTGGCGCTACAATCTATAGAGACACCCTTTACATATAGCGAGAAAGTAATGGTTACAAAAAAAATCCGTGAGTTCGTTACAATCGTATTAAAATTTCATTAAAATCGATTGCCGAACAAAGGAAAAAAAAACGGTACTGAACTGATTGGTCCATTATCTATTTAAATAATGATTCTTAATAAATATAATTTTTAAATGTGATTATTCAACAAGAATTTAAAAAAAAGATGTAACAATACAAATTTTATAATTTATAGACGAACTTTTGTTAATTTTATTTTAATTATCTAGGATGATAAATAAGTAGAATTTTCATTTTTTTTTTATACAAAAAAAATTCTCTTAAGACACTAATATTAATATGTTATTATCGTAATGGTGATATATAAATTTCTTAGATTTTTTTTTTAAACGAAAGTAAAATTAAAATTTGCCAGTATGGTAACACTGATTGTAACAGTGAAAGTACCTACTCATTTACCGGATGCAGATGGTTTTCGCTCTGTCTATATATTTATCTACTTTGCATTCTTTAATATCAACTAAGTGTTCAAGCAACAGTAATAATGTTAATTAGTTACAGATAATAGAGCATAAATGATCCAAATGGCACAAGGACACTGCCATTGTTATACAACATTAACTAATCTAAGAAATTATTGCGAATTACCCTCTCATTGTTTTGTTTAGCCTGCTTCGGTGTGTAACGCATTGTGGCTCTTCAGGTAGAATTTACAACAGTTTGGAGATTTGATAAGTTATATTATTTTACTTTTTGTTGTATCTATATATATATAACATAATGCCAACATATTGGTATTGCATCCATATAAGAAATGTAATATGTCCTGGAGTAATATCGATGCCTTAAATACAATACTCCTAGAGCGAACGAACACCACCGGAGGTCTGGCGCAGACTGCCGTTGCATGTCAAGGGCGAGGCGCGAGCAGGTCGATATTACTGACCTAGGGAGCAACGCTACGGAGGATAGAGTACGCGCGGACAGAACCTGGCCGATGAAGAGGATATGGGTGCAGCAGTATGGAGAGATCATGATGAAGAACGTATCAGCGGGGTACGTAGGTATAGTATGGTATGGGTACGATGCTAATGCTACGAGAGGGAGATTAAAGATATATCCTCAAAACCCACCAGCGATGATAAAACGATCTGATTCAATACAATAGATTTCGTAAATGAGCCATTTCACGGGTGATGCCCACCGCAATGGCAGTTATTCACTGTTTTAGTGGAATAAAATAAAAGTTCTTGAGCAGACTCTACACGGTAATTCATGAATGAACGTCACAAGAAGTACCAAGATTGCTCGAGATCACTTTGATCATGAAGACCCTTACACGTTCAATCATTACTTATCGTTGCTGATACCAATTTAGCTCAGTTGTAAACAAAGAAACAGCGTAGATATGCTTATTTGGACATTGTCATTTATAATATTGGGCATCAAGAGAAAAACGGAGATATAATAATTACTTCCTAGTGCCTGAAAATCGTTTAGATCAAAGTTAGTAAAATATAAGTCAACTACATACAAAAATCTATTAAAAGTATTGCGAAAATAATTAATTTGTTAAGAAAAATGGAAAAATTAATGGCAAATAAACACAACAGTTAAAGATTTTTTTTCTATAAGTAAATTGGGAAGTTTCCACTTTTTTTTCTCTTCAATTTATTGCCTACTTGACTATTTAAAGAAAAAATAGTTGAAAATGGTTAATAATAATATAGATTAGGGATATAAACAATTTTTTACTTAATAAAGAGACTTAACTAACCTATCTAGTAGTAAGGTTAGTCTCATAGAAAATTGCTTTGACAAAAGTTAGTAAAATATAAGTCAACTACTTACAAAAATTAAGGAAAGGTATTGCGAAAATAATGAATTTGTTGAGGAAAATGGGAAAAGAACTGATAAATATACACAACGTTAAAGTTTTTTTTTTTTTTCTTAAAGTAAATTGTTAAGTTTCCACATTTTTTTAAAAATTTGTTGCCCACTTGACTATTTAAAAGAAATGGTTGAAGATGGTTTAAAATTATAAACAAGGGATATGAAAAATCATTTCACTATTTACATATAATGAAAATCAGAAATTTATAATGGTTGTGAGGCCTAGGTAACCTAACCTATCCAGCAGTATGGTTAGTCTCCCCACTACTTTTACCTCAGTCCCCCCTCCACTTCTTGTGAATGAACCTATGATTTCCGGATGTTCAGAAATCCGCCACACACCACCATCAGTACTTCATTCACTACCTTACACGATAATTCGGAACGTCATTAGTGCAATTCCGAATGACCGTGTACAGGTCCGCTTTGGATCTGGAATTTTTTTTTATTTTAAATTTGTATTTACAATTCCTAAAAATGACTGCCTAAATCAAGGGAATAAGGAGCTAGCTGGAAAAATAGGTCCCTAACCCTTTCCGTTACTTCGGGGAAGGGATATTGGGCCATTTACCTGGTGCTAGTTAATGACGCCTTCGGAGGTCCCTATTGGATTAGGGCAGGTATATAGCACGTCCCAGGTATATACAGCAAGGCTACAGGTGAGAGGTATACATACTATTCCCAAGTGTACATACTAGGTACCAAGTATTGTAGTATTAAGGTAACTCCAAGAAGTAGTACAATGGACTTCTTCGTTATCCATAGAAAGAAGAGAACCGTCTTTCTACCACCCAGGTGTTCTTCCTAATTACCTTTCATCCTTCAGGCAATGAGCCTCAGTTCCAAAATCTTCTAAAAAGGTTCTGGTAATCCTTCTGTAAAGTCCCTCTACCAACCTTCCTCCCGTATGCCGGAGGAGTTATATAGAATGCTCCGTAAGTAGATGGAAATTTTTATATGAATGATAACAGACCTCAAAAGAGCTACAAAAAAGTCCATATAAACAATGGGCCAATTCGAAAAGTAGCAAATCCAATTTTTTTGGTTTTTAAGTGAGTCATATTTTTTATTGAAGCGATGGCAACAACTAAATAAATATTTAATTTACGTAATTAATAATTGCTTAATTGTAAACAAGATGAAATATACTGTAAATCAACATAGAGGAGTTTATCACTGTTAATTATAGGTGTGTATGTGTTCTTTTTATTTATTTATTTTTAGGTTATTTTATTCTTATTTATTGTATATATATTATTTTTCTGTATAATTTGTTTTATTTATTGTACATAGAGTGTGAATGTGATCTGTGAACTCTATTATAAATGTCCCAGAGACTGTAATATTTTTCAATAAATAAGTTTTAAAAATATATATATATATATATATTTTTTTTATTTTAGGTTATTTATAAATTATCATAAAAAAAAAAAATCACTGTTAAAATCATTCACTCAAGAGGTCTTTTAATCGGCTTAACTAAGTTAAGTTTTGTTTAAAAAAAAAAAACATAAATTATTTGAGATTTTTTTCATCCAATCATACTACTGTTACTCCACTTTTACAAAAACTTCTCCGTTTAAGAATCTTCAATTCCGTATTAATTAAGCTGAGATTTATTGGGAAAAAACTTGAGGTTAAGCTCAAACGATGTAAAAAAATGATCGTTTCGTTTAAGGCATCATCCCGATGAACACTGAAAATTTTTCTATAAGCTTTTGCAGCTCGGCTATCTTATTTAAAATAATACAACAAAATATACCGATAATATTTTCTTCCATATTCACAGTGAAATAGCAAACACAATATTAAGCTAGTTTCAACAAGAGTTAACAGATATAGTTGTTGACATATTAATGATAGGATAAACAACCCATCTTGAGGATTAATTCATCAGATAAGAATTGTAACATAGTGACATAAAAATAAACATAAAAACCGAAAGGACTTATTTGCCAACCCAATATTATCCAAAGGGCCTAACGGATCATATAGTTATTTTCCATTTAATTTTTCATTTCATTTTTAGTTCGTAGAAGACTAAGGTAAGAGCAATATTTTAATTTTTACAACGTTGTGTTATTTTTTTCTCATTTCTCACAAGGGAATGAAATTCGCTTTATCAAAGAATTCCGGTGATTGATAATGTACTAAGTATCGATACCAACAAGGAATCTACGGATAAATTATTTTATAAGCGGTAAAAACCAAGTGGTGACAAATTCATTACATAAACGACACAATTGTATAAACAGGAAGAGAGGCGGAGAATTTTATATATAATCTGTAAAGTAAACAAAGAGATAAACATTACAATTCTTATTGACCTATAAAGCCATAACTATTTTCAAGAAATAACGCGTTATTTTTTCGACCTCAACTTCCTCTTAGTATCCATGTTCGTTTTGAGAAAATTTAATTTCTTTTTTTTTGGCTTCCAGATTTTAATTAGTACCATATTTTGCAGAAAATTTACATTTTTTATTCTTTGAATTGTTTTACAGTCTCAAGGTCGATATTTATATTAATTCACAATAAACAAAAAAATCAGGTTAATAGAAAATAATAAGTAACAGATTCGCTATTTTTTAAAATAACGGCAACTGAATGGACAATAATGGTTTTAGGAATAAAATATTTACATTTCAACTCCACATGTCGCTACTGTTAGTGTAAAAGATCTTATGTATAAAAATTTTGTATTCTTGTAACAGTTGAAAGTAGTCTGCTAAATAGTAAAATATCAAAGAGAAATAATATATGAAATTATACTAATAAATCTTAAAGCAATAATCGGTTTTAAATAATTGTGGCAAAACTATTTTATTAAAAGCCAACGTTTCGACCCGACTTTGCAGGTCTTCTTCAGGTCTTGTGCTCTAACACAAGTTCTAAGAGAAACTCCTAGCTGAACACACCTCCCTGGAGAAGAAATGCAAAGTCGGGTCGAAACGTTGGCTTTTAATAAAATTGTTTTGCCACTATTTATGACCGCCACCCCGGACCATCTCCTTCCTTTGTAATGCAACGGTCAACAATTAAATATTCAATATTTTAATTTATTTTGTATTTGCCATACAGGTCACTCATAGAAACAAATATGAATCGTTGAAATAAAAAATATTTACATTTATGATTTCCATCAACTATTTTTTTTTTTTTTTTAAAATTTAACATTCGCGCTGTCCGAAGACTATGATTTCAAATCCTGGAGCCGCTTGGACTATTAACTTTGGCATAATTCCTTCGTCCTCTCCCCTGGCTCGGGGAAAACCCTTATAATAGTCTATAAAGAGGAAAAAAATAAAAAAGCTAAGAAACCTTGATAGTTCCGTTTATACTTTTCAGAAGAAGTTAGGGTTTTTAAAATTGGTGGCATAATGAACAGATTAATGAGAAGAAAAAAAAGCTTTGTTAAACCTCCACAACTATTTAAAAACAAATCGAGCCGACCGTATTGGTTGGGGGTAATACCAGTCAAACTACTATATTTTCTTAATTGTGGGTTAATGGTTGATTGTCGTGAATAATGAAGAGAAGGATGTTTGGAATGATCAGTCAAAAATAAAAAGGTAAAAATTAATAATAATATTTATTTTAACATTAGCCGATGTTTCGACCTGAAGTTCAGAACTTCATCAGGCTAAGAAAAGAACGAGATAACAAGGTATGGGAAACATAAATAATGTAGGTAAAAAAATTCTATTTATAATATCTTAATTTTAATGTTTATTTTCATTTCTTTTATAACGTCATATTCCTTTTTTCTGTTTCACATTTTATTCTCTTACGTCACCTTTTTTGATTATGTTAACTTCATGATTCTACACTTTGTAACGGTTATTATTATTTATCTCTTAGTTCTCACTATTGTCATTATTCTACCCACTTCATTTTACTTTAATTTTTTCACCTACATTATTTATGAGAAGGAGTTAGTAGAGGGTGCGGTCAAATAAATAAAAAAAAATTAAAATATATAAATTATTTTAATTTTTGCCGACGTTTTGACCCACTTTGCAGGTCGTCTTCAGGGCTACAAAAGATACAAAACATGTTGAAAATAAAAAATAAATATAAGTATATATAAAATACGAAGAAGTTGTCAGATACAGAAATAAAAGATGGTATCAGAGATATAGTGGGTGACAATGTAGTTAAATATTAAGAATTATATATGTAGAAGATACAAATAAATGGAAAATAAGTAGGAATAAAAATATGTTAAAATAAATATTATTATTTATTTTTGCCTTCTTATTTCTGACTGATCACCCGAACCATCCTTCTCTTCATTACTACATTTTCTGTAGATTCTTATATTTTCTTCTGATGGAACGAAAAGGTTGGTTACCTCTTTTCCATGGGATATCTCAGGTATACAGACCTAAAGTATGATGAGATAACTCACGCAGATATTAAGAGAATGAGAGATAGCAGATGCTAAATACGTGAGTTAGGAGCTACTAATAACTTAGTTATCTTTATTTAGCAGGGTCGTTTATCCGAGCATTACTTGATAACTTTTATCAATTATAATCTAATCATCATTCATCATTCTGATGAATGATTTGGCCCCAAAACAATGGCTCCAGATCCTAAGGCAACACCCCACAGGCCTAACTCCGCCACGTGCGGCCGCAATGACTCGTAAGCCTTTAAAAATGATAATGAATTGATAAGAAATGTGTCTAGACGGCTCTCTCTGGTCTAGGTAATTATTCGGCGATAACGATGATTTATATCTCGGCTGATAATAAAAAAAACCTATAAAACCGCCAATTTGCTTCAAACAATCCACTCTTCCTAGACAATATATAGAGTAAAATCCAGTATCGGAGATCTATTGGTAATACAATTTTGTCCGCTATAATGAGTTGTTTTAGAAAAACTAGAGGTAAAACAAGACAAAAAATATTATTCGTTCAAAGAACATTTTTATTTACAAACTAGCTATACCCTGTGGCTCAGTCTAGTATAAAAAAATAAACAAAAAAAAAGCAGATATTTCTAATATTTTATATTTCACAATAATTGTGGTATTTTATATAGGTATGGGGACTGTCTGGTTTTCCAACTCTAGAACAAGCAACATATAATTGTCTATGTGAGAAGCAATCTAAATCACTGAAGAAAAAGTACTAAAAAGTTCAAAACATTGTATCTCTACACTAAATCGTACGATTTAAGTGATTTTTTTTTTTTAAATTTTCATGGAATCCAACTATGTCGAAGTTATCAAAATATTTGTGATATAAAAAAATTATAGGCTCCTGTCTTGATGCAAAATTTGGAGTAAATTTTTTTTTGCTCGTTAGGCCGGTATAAATTGTTTCACTTCGAAGATAATTAATTCTTTTTGATTTCGATGTTGTTGTTTTGTTTTTTCATTATGCAGGGAAATCATTAAGGTTTCAAATAATCATGGGTACAATCAATCAAAAATTGTGTACTTTTTTTCTTGCTATTTTTGGGGAAACATGTATATGTATAAATTAAAATGGCTTTCAGGAGAAGACTTTATCCAAGTTTAATTAAAATCGTTACAGCCGTTTAGTTTAGACGCTAAAATCCATAGTGACACGTTTTCGGCCTCCTTTCCGAAACGAATGGACAGTGAGTAATTAAATGTATATGAAAACACTCCTGAATCCGATAGAAACATCGTTGTCAAAATTTCAAAGCAATCGGTGAAGAAGTTTCGAAGATTAGGGGTTTTGAACAAATCAATATTTACATTTTTATTTATATAGATTTACAATTAATATATACATTTTTATGGGAAATGATGTATTTTCAAATAATCAAAGTGCACATATAAAAGATAAACTTC